TATAATTTTCTAATATATTATGATATTTTAATAAAAGATTTTTTCATAATAGATCAAAAAATAAAAAAATATTTATAATCTGAATATATATCTAGATAAGAAAGATTAAAATTTATTTAATACATAAAAAAATAATAATAAATATATGAAAAAATAGCTAATTTTTTCAATTGAATTAATAAATAGTTTTGATAAAAGTTTTTTTGAAAATATCTTCGAAGTGATTGCAATTTTTTCATTAAAACTTTCTATAAAATACTTATTATATTAATTGATAAATTGAATTTTATATTTTTTTATAAAATAAAGATTTATATAAAATGATTTCAATATAATTTTCTATTAGTTTTATTATTTATAAAAAATTTATAAATATATTTATTACAAATTAAATATAAACATCTTAAATTATCTTTATATAAAACTGATCTTTTTTTAATCATGATATAAATGTATTATATTTAGATATAATTTAGAATATTTTTCTAAAGTTTAGATTTGTGATTTGTAAATATTAAATAGGTAAGCTAGTTTTTAGATGATATTTATGTAAACTTTATTAAAGTTAATTTATCTAATACAATTTCTTTAATTGTACTATAATTTTAGAATTAAAATTTTTCTTTTTTAATTTAAGATTTTATAAATAATTAAATTTTACATGTTTTGATTCAAGAATAAAATGATTATCAATCTATTTATAAATAAAGATAATAATATATATATTTAAATAATTTATATTTTTATATATAATCTTTAAAATTTAAATAAAAAAAATAATTTTGTATTTTCAAATTTTTTCTAATTTAGCATATGTAAATTGATCAGAAATTATTATTCTTTTTATTATTATGTAAAGCTTAAGAAAAATAATTTCAAAAGATTTATACATTCGTACAAAAAAACTTAATATAAGAAATTTAAGTTTATATAAAAATAATAATATTTTTTTATCATTAGTTAGAATAGTAGCTTTATTTAAATTTAATACTAAAATAATTAGATTTATTTTTTATTTATATAAAACTAATTGTAAAAAATTTTACTTTTGATTTTTTTCTTATAAATAGAATTATATTATAATATTTAGCAACCTTTAGTATATATTACTATGTTCTTATTTCTCAATATTTAAATTTGTGCTGAACAGAATATAGAAATTTTAATTGTGTATATAATTCAATGGTATTTTCTTTATTATTCATCCAATTTTCAAATAAAGATACTATTTTATATTTAAACATATTTTCTTGAAATAACAATTAAAAAGTATTTTTATAAGAGTATAATTTATCTAATTATTTAGCTTGCAAGTAAGAATGTGATGATTAATAAGAAATTTTTGTATTATTAAATTATTTAGTCTAAAAATAGTAGTATTATTAAATTTTTATAATATATGTGAATTTTTTCAAACTTCATTTAGTGGATGACCTTCAAATATTTTTACATATTAATATTCTTAATATATTATAATTGTATATTAATTATTATTAAAAAAAAGCTTGAATTTTATTATAAATATTAATAAAAAATAATATATAATCAGGTTTGCTATTATAAAATATATATTAATTTAATTAAGTATTTGATTAAGACACAAAAATTTTGAATTTATTTAAATAAATAAAAAAAAGGAAAAAATAATATGTTCTCTTGAAATTCTTTAATTATATTTTAGTTACTATAATCAATAGTTATGATATTAGATTTTTTTATTTTATTATGAAAAATTTGCATGTATAAATTTGAAATAGCTTATGTAGTTAAAGTTTTTACATTACTTGAAAATTTTCTAATTCATAACAATAATCAAAACATTTTAGGCTTTCTTTATTACTAACTATAATTCTAACTATAAATTTTCATTTATTAAGAAAAATACATATTTTTTGATTAAAGTATATAGGTAATAGTTAATTTTCAGCTTATAACAATGACATTTTCACTTTTTAAAATCTATCAATAATATGTAAAAGGGTATAATATGTATCTTTAAGAAGTTTTTTGCAAAAACTAAAGTAATCTTAGTATTATTATTTAGGTATTATATGATTATATGTATAGTTTAGATTTAAAATATCTTTGAAAATACTAATTTTAAATATCATTAAATTTTATATATTAAGATTTTTTTAATATAAAAGTTTTTGTCTAAATAAGACTTTATTTTTATATATATAAATTTAATTTTTTATATTATAGTAACTTACTATAATAAAAAATAGTTAATATTAAGATTTCTTATTGATTCAACCAGAATTTAAAAATTTTAAATTTCAAAAATTACAGTTATAATTTTTTTTGTATATGAATATATACGCTTAAAAGGAATTGCATATTTTTTATTGGTAATACTTTTATAAAAGCAATTTTTCTAAAAGGGAACTTTGATTTGAATGATAAATAATTTATTATTATTATTTCTTATTTTAAAGAAAATAGAAAGAAGTTTAAAATGGTTAAGCAATTTTTTTATAAACTATTATAATACTATAAATCTATTTTTATTTAAATAAAATAATATGAATTGTAATTTTTATTTTTATTTTTTAATTATACTATACATCAAAAAATTTTAAATATTATACAAATCCTTTAACCAATCTCTTTTTTTTAAAAAAAAATAAAGTCTTTTATTTTTATTTAAAATATTCAAACTTAATAAAAACATTCTTTTCTTATTATTTAAGGAATTACAAGATAATTTAAAATCTCTATTTATTTTTATATCTATTAGTTAATAGATATTAGTATTCTTAATTTTATAGAGAGATCTTTAGTGTTATGTTGATAACATTAATTACTACAACAAAAGTTCCTTATATAATATTAGCCTAATAATGTCAAAGGATTTATAATAATTCAAGAAATTCAATTGTTATAAACTTCATATTAATCAGTTTTATTTGATTATTTGCTTATAAGCAATTTCTCTTGCAATAAGAAATTTTATGAGAAAATGTTCAAAGATTGGATATGAGATCACTTAAGCATTAAATCTTTTACTATATAGAAGCATTTGATTCAATTTGTGAAATAAAATGTGATAAGTCTATTGATTCAACCTATTTTTATAGATCTATCAATTTATAAAGTATTACATTATTAATACTGATATAAGATCTATCAATAGAATTGTCAAGTTGATTAAGGCTTAGAGAAATTATATCCTTTGATTAAACATTTAACCCCTTGCATTCTCATTATTAAAGGAGCATTTCATTAAATTTGAAAAATTACTAAAATCTTGTCAAATTTGAAGACATTAATGTTAGTATAAATGAAGAGATATATTATCTAATGCATTAATAAAATCAGCACTTATCATTGAATTTAGCCTGCATTTAACTCCTAGGAAGGAAGTATATGGAAATTATAAACTGATACAAAATGATGACATAATTAGAGATTTAATATTTAAGACGATTCTAAAATGATTAAAAGTATCAATTTTTTTTTAAAAATTAAATGTACACAATACTTATTAGGTGTGATATATATTTGTGACAATTAGCATTTTTTGTCCTAGTAAAATGAACCCTTAACTAATCCTAATTCTAATCTTAATCTACTAATAATAAATACCAGCAAAATAAATCCGGCTACTATTTTTTCCGTACGACTACATCTCGAAGGGGTTATTTTTGATAAGGGCAGTGACATAGTGATATATTACTATATAAGGTAGATATAAGGTAGATGCAAAAATAAATTTATCACGTGAAATTCGTGCATATTCATACCCCAAAATTTCTGACCCCAAAATATTTTATCGCGGATACATAAGGATTCTACTTTTTATTTCGTTCATTTTTTTTTCTCTTCTGCAACTTCCCAACAAATATATGCACACGCAAAATAAATAAAAACTTCATAAGTCGTTTTTTGATAGTTCTACTATATGACATTAACAAAAAATTTCCTTTTCTCTTACACATCTACCCCTCTACTACCCTTATTCCTTATTTTACTATTTTGTTATATCTTTTAGTCGGTTTCCGTCCGTCCGTCCGTCCGTCCGTGCTTCTTTACGATTTTCGGTTTAGGTTTTAGATGGGGTCCCGCGATTTTTTTGTAGGTTTTCGGTAAGGATATTCTTTTTCTTACACCTCCACCCCTCTGCTACCCTTCTTCCCTATTTTAACTATTTTGTTATATCTTTTAGTCGGTTGTCAGTCCGTCCGTCCGCGTTTTTTCGATTTTCGGTTTAGGTTTTAGATGGGGCCCCGCGATTTTTTTGTAGGTTTTCGGTAAGGATATCTTTCCTCCCTTTTATTTAGTTTGCGTGTGCATATATTTGTTTAGGAAGGTCAGGTATACAAATAAAAAATTACTAGTTTTCGTGTTTTTCTTTTGATATATATAAATTGTATATGTATTTATGTTAATAAAGCGTTATGATAATGTATTGTATTATAATAAAGACGAACAAAACCAGTTCATTTTATTTGAAAAATATTTGAAAAATAAAATTTTTATTTTTTATTTTGTGTTATCAATGTTTTTATAATCTCGCGATCAAAGTAGAAATACATATGATTTTTTTTTTTTTGATTATTTCGTTCTTTGAGCGAGTCTAGACCAAGAAAAATAAATTTGTTTTTTAACCATAAAGGAATCTTCCATTAAAGTACAAATAATTCTTTTGTCTCTGGTTAACTATCAACAGAAATTTTTGATAATTTTCAAATAACAAGTAAAAGTTGCAAAGTCGTTCTTCTTTTATAATATTTAAAAGCCAATTTTACCAACATAATTTCTATTTCTTGTTCTTAATCCAATTTTCTCTTCACAATAATAATTTTCATGTATGGAACCTCTACAGAACATATTTTTCTTGTACCGGTAACGAACGCATTTAAAGGGTAAATACCTCGGTAAAGGTGATGAGTTACATTTATAACGCGAGAAATATTATTTATTGTATTATTCTAATAGGCTTAACAATTTAATTCGCAAATGTATTGATGAATGGGAAATAAAAAAAAAAAATAAAGTTAATCTTTAATCGACAAATCATTATGAAAATGAACTTCCCACGGTTTAACACATTTAAATTTTTTAATCACTCCATCATCCATGTACTTATTTATTATTTCCATATATTCTTCTTTTTTATATGATTCGTCTGATGTAATTATCGAACGACCTCTCCAATTATCTAATAAAGCATCCAAGGTTTCCAATGAAAATTTAACCCCATAAGTATGTGAAACCATTTCCCCTAATCTAATTTCTCTTAAATTATCTGGTGTTGATTTTATTAATAGATTTGATAATTCTTCTCCTGTTTCAAGTCTTGCCTCCTCAAGCGATTTTTCATCGTGATAAGAACAAGCGATTTTTAACAGTAACGAATTCAATTTTAGACACGTTTTTAGTAATTTTTCGAGTTCAACGAAATGATTTGTTGATTTTGGAAATGCGAGTGACAAATATTCGACCAAAGGACAATATTCATAAACCGTACGGATAAGGAGAAGAGATTCTTGATAATTGTTATCTCTCTTATCATATTCATCGACTAAAATTTTCCTGAGGTGCCCTTTACAGTTTTTAATCACGCAAATGATTGTGCTGATATGAATATAATTTACATGAAGGGTTCTAAGATTTTGATAACATGAAGTTTGAATTTGATGTTCAAAACGCGGCCAATAAAATTTATATTTTAACATTATCAAGTTATGAAATTTTGAAAAGTTTATCGGTATCGTTATCATTGTGTTTGCTTCATAATCATTATGATCTTCAATGCCCAACACCAAATAATTCAGGGTATTTGCCTTTTTTTCTAATGTTAAAAACATTTCTTCATATAATCCCTTCACCACGGATCCACGTACATCAAAATCAAGGTCCCATAATTCGTCAACGTCCCATAATTCATCATTCCATTCAAAATATTTTAAATTCTTCTGTACCTCAGTCAATTTGACAATTCCATCATTGACTTTTATTTCTTTATTGATAATAATGATCCTTTGTATCGATTGACAGATACGTGCTAATTCATAAAAATACGTTGGATTAATGGACATTTCACATGTGATTTCACAAAGCGAATCAAGACATGTCTTTGCTTCTGTTAAATAAAATAGTTGGTGATTAAATGATCTCATATTAAAATACTTTAATTCTGGACATTTTCTCATAAAAAAACTGTAAATTTCTTGTTGTAAATGAAATTGTTTATAAGTTGAGGAAGAACAACCAATAGAAAGTATTTTGTTTATGACATTTATATTAATACTCTTACAGATGCACAGATAATCGAACAAAAGTGATTTATGTGAAATTGGGGGTAAATAGACTCCCTTACTGGTTAGATATAATTTGATATCGTTGGATAAAGAGAAGGTAATAACGTAATATAAAGAACTTTTGGTTTCATAATTGATTTGATCTTCAAAACGCCAGGGATTCTTCCATAAAAACGGAACCACGGTTCTACACCAAAATCTATTAACTAATAGGCACGAAAAAAGGGACTTTGAGTCATCTTGTAATTCTTCATATAACAAGAAAAGAATTTCTCTATTGAGATTGGACATGTTTAAAAAAAGAAATCGTGGTGCTTAAAAAAAAAGGTAAAAAGCAAGGTTCCTATTATATATATATATATATTTTTTTAAAATGATTATGTGCGACTATTTTAATTGTGCAGCCAATAGAATTGCTGACATATGTATGGTCATGTATTGTCATGAATGGTCATGTAGAGTATATATGGAGGATTGGTTATGCGTTACCGATTTTGTGAAATAAATCAACATAATAGCTGTCATTATTTTGTCGGAGATAGGTATCGTTAGAAAATGCTGTGTTTTGTGACACAACTAAGGTTGCGGGCAAAACCCAAAGCCAATTTTGGGTTTCTATGGGTTTCGACGATGGGATTGGCCCGGCAACCTTAGACGCAGTCGTCACAAAAATGATTCTTTGGCCAAAAAATTTTTTTTTAAATTCGTGTAACAAGATTTTTTTTTTTTTGCTTGTTAGCATTTTAAAAATTTCCTATTTTTTATAAAAAAAAAAAAAAAGTAAAAATAAAATTAATAAAATAAAAATAAAAATAATAATTTTGTAATTTTTTTTTTTACAGATCATTATGACAAGGATTGATTAACGTTACGCATCAGAAAGCACACGCATTAATGGACATGAATCAAATAAATCTCAACAAAATAAAAATTATTCCAGTATTAAAGTTAAGTTTAGTCTTTTGTGAATTATTATATCACGTGTCTTTCTGTTGATTCAACATAATTGAATAAGATCATCGTTAACAAATGAATTTCCACGTTTTCGTCGATCAATTTAAACCTATAAATGAACTCGGCAGAAAATTTTTTTTCAAATTGAATTTCTTCCTTGAAAGGTTGCAAAGCTGCGCATGCTTTGAGGTAATAATTCTTTGAATCTTTTAAATGATTTTTTTCAATGATTTTGATAACAATTTTTCTTTCAACATATCAAGAAATAAGTTCAATTAAAAAAAATCCCCTAATTATACAAGAATTTAAGTTTTAAATTTGATTTAATGGTTGATTTTTTATCGGATTAACGTTTTTTAACTTCCTAGATACAAAGATCCTTTCCATCGCAGGATATTTTAAATAATACTCTTAATCGGTCCCTAATTCGTAGGTAGATTTTAAAATTATGACGAAATATCATTTTTGTGTATCGTATGATCTCTCATATAAATGAAATTGATCCCTTTAGCTATATTCATTCAATCTTTTCGTATATTGTCATGTTACGTTCATTAAATCGTATTTATTCCAACAAATTAGTTTTTAAAAAAGCTATTAATTGTAACAATTCTCTTCGGTGGCATTCAACTTGTAATTATGGCGTATGCTTAGATATCGACGGTGTTTTGATCAAGGTGTGTATGTCGATTTTTGCTATTATTGATTTTTTGAAATATCTTGAATAACTTCAATTCATAATATCTGGAGAATTTTAAAGGGTGATACGGTAGTTCCTGAGACAAGAGCTGCATTAGATTTTCTGGATGGAAATAACTTGGCTAAAAAGTGAGTTTGATGATTTTTAAAAAAGAAAATTTGTCAAAACGATTTTCCATTATAATAATATATTCACATTATTTATCCATCAAAGAAAGATTCCTTTCATTTTATTAACGAATGGTGGTGGTGTCACAGAAAAGAAAAAGGCCAAAGAACTTTCTAAATTGCTTGAATTTGATGTAAGTTAAGTTACATGGTTGTTACAATTTCTAATATATTATCATATACAAAAGATCTATCCTAATAAATTTTTTTTTTCTAGTTATCGGAAGAGCAAGTTGTATTATCACATTCACCTATGAGATCATTAGTTTCCATATATCAAAATTCTCAAGTGTTGGTATTAGGAGGTGCATCCGACAATTGTAGGAAGGTTGCGGAAAGGTTCGTCTAATATTTCGAGTCATTAGATCGATTTTGTTATAATCTGGTATTAACAAATCATTTATCTTTCAGTTATGGGTTTAATCAAGTTGTATTGCCAAATGATATTCTAGCGTGGAATCCAAGTATTTGGCCATTTACTAAATTAGGACGAGAAGATTTAAAATTAACAAAGGTGAGTTAATATAGGAAAAAGGAATAGAAAAATTATTATAATGATAAAATTTCACTTTTTTTTTTTTTGCAGAAAGTTGATTTTTCAAGAGAATCAATAGCCGCAATTATGATGTTTCACGATAGCCGTGATTGTAAGTTTGTAAATCTTTTCTCGGAATAATATTTTACAATTGAATGCTTAATGAATTATTCTTTTATTTAGGGGGACGAGATTTACAAATCACTTTAGATGTATTAAGAAGTAGAGATGGATATGTTGGGACATTGAGAAAGGAAAATGAAGTAACTTCACGTGCCGTTCCAATATACTTCTCAAATCCCGATATTGTAAGTGAAAGTTTCTTTATTTATCATTTGGTTGGAAATTTCTAACCTTTGGAAATTTTTGTTTTTTAAAATTTATAGATTTGGGCAAATGATTATCCAGTTCCTAGATATGCTCAAGGATCATTTAGGAAATGTTTGGAGCTTTTGTTTCAGGTAAAGTAATTTGCTTAAAAATGAAGGGATTTTTTTCTCTTATTGACTCTTTTAATTTATATTCAATAAATTATTTAGGACACGACAGGTCATAAGCTTAAATATAAATTATTTGGAAAACCGGAACCCATAACATATATGTATGCAGCAAAGAAGTTGGAAGATTTCGCTGCGGAGTATACAGGAGAGAGAATATCGAACAGGAAAATTTATGGTAAACTTTACTTTGTTATAAAAATACGCTATTGAATCAGTATTTATTAATTGAATTATTTTATAGCTGTCGGAGATAACCCCACCGCAGGCATGTTTTGAAATAGAAATTGAATCTCGTTTTAATTGATTTTTGTCTTATGATGCTCATAATATTTTTTTTTTAAAAATAATTCTAGATATTGCAGGAGCAAATAGAGCAGGGTGGACATCAATATTGGTCAGGACCGGAGTATTTTCAGGAGAGGATAATGATCTATTAAATCCCGCTAAGTTTGTTGCTGATAATATATTACACGCAGTTGAATGGATGTTTCATCGAGAAGAAGGTTTTTTGTGGAAAAAATGAGAATGAACATTTTAATACACTAATTAATGTATTGTATATGTAGAATGAATTGTAACTTTGTTAATTTTTTAATTATTTATTATTTTATTTAAATTTAATTTACGTTATAATGTTAAATCCAAAATTTACTTGTAATGATATTCATACAATAAATGTAATCTTTGGCAATTGTTGGTGTTCCTCTTTGTCTTCATCCATCACTACTTCCATCAAAGTTCACTTGTCAGGTTTACAAATGATACTTCTGGTGCAATACAAGGAAGGATGGATGGATACCGAAGATAGACAATTAATTGTTTCATTAAATAACTAAATCAGCAGTTCTGAATAAAGGTATTGTGCTATCAAGTTTGACGGAGTGATGTAAAATAAGTTGTTAAAAAACAATTGGCATGGCATTGAGTTCTTAACATATTTAATGCAGAAATTTTTTACAACGATCCCATTACAATTTTTAGAACTCGAGAGAATCGTACGCTGACTAGATCTTGAAAGTCCCCTCGTTTTAAATCGGTTTCAATAGCAAATATGAAAGTTAACATGCTGATTTACTAAATTACGATATGGAAGTCTTTCTAGAATAAATTAGGGATGTTTAACTTTTATGCGTAATATCTTACTTTTGTCATTTAAAGAAGATCAAAATTTTCCTTCAATTAGATTGATTAATCTATAGATTATTAAGATTATTATATGGGAATGAGGTTTGGTACTAATATTTTTTTATAAGCAATTCCATTTTCTTTTACGATTTAAACAATAATGTTGCAACAATGTATGCCTTTTTTTTCACATTTAATTATTTATGATTGACAAATATTACGTATAGTTTTTATTTCTAAGACGGAGGTCGACAAAAGCTATGTATAAAGATCATAATAAGCAAGAGAGCTTTTTAAACTTGTTGTATGGTTCACAATTTATATAATTGAGATGCAGTTGATGCTTCAATGGATTAGAATGCCAAACGTTGCGTCATTCACTTAATATAAACATCACCCATCAATTATTTCAAAACAAAGTCCAAAATAAATTTCCGTATCTTAATTACCGTCGTGTGATCTAATACACCACCTGCAAAAAGTGCCCGCATTATAACCCAAAGCTGTAAAAATCGATTTTTTTTTTTTTTTACTGAATTTCCTTTCAAAATGTTTATCCAATCAAATTTGGTAATCGAGGTACCTGGCAAAGCTATTTGAGGCAATATAGATACTTAGACTACTACGTATAAAAAAATATTATTAAAATCGTGTAACGTAAAGCAGGTTCAAGGATTAAGACGTAATCTGTCAATCCAGATCGTCATTGCGATAATAAATCTTCTTTTTATGTATGCATTAAATCTTAACTACAGCTAGTATAAACTATTAATTTTAAAAAAGAACCCTAACTATAAATTTTCCAAGGAAAAAAAAAAAAAAAATTTTTTTTGATTTCGTTTTAAACAAACAAATATCATAGCATGTTGTTTCTTCATCAAAAATTAATTTAAGACATTGCAGAGACTTTAAAAATCAATTGAGCATTACTTGAAATTGATAAATTTAAAAATTAACTCGCGCGATACACAAAACTTTCTTGTGTATTAACGAAAAAAGAAATTTTGCCAATTTATTTTTATTTAAACATAAAAAAATATAATCTAATAATAATCCATAAAAAAAAATTGTAACGTAACGAAAATTTTCTAACGATTAAGAAATATTCAGACTTTGACCGAAACGACGAAAGTAATAAAAATTAAGAAATAAAATCGAAGTAATACGATTCAGAATTTTGCGTGAAAACTTATTTCATAAAAAAGGAAATCATAGTGAAATTATCAATAGAGGAACGTAAAATAAAAAACAAAAAAAAAAAAAATCTTAAATAAAAACGGGATTATTACATTTTTTCAAGAGAGAAAAAATAAATTTATCGACGATTTTTGATTATTTTATTCACTTCATCAGACAAATTTTTGTAATAAAACTTTTGTTGCGTAGTAGCAGCTCCCATCAACATGTCCGTGGCCTTGCTGACAGCATTTCCATTATTCGTAGTTCGGGTTCGAGATACAAAGTATCTTAATATATTTCTCATGTTTGTGGTTTTAACTCTAGGATTTGGCCTATCCTTGTATAATAAGTTCCCGTACATTGTTTTCGGATCCGAAATAGGGTAGACCAAGTTTCCATCCGTAATAAAGGCTTCCAAAAGCTTGGCGATTTCTTGTTTGAATTCACAGGTCGTGTTATTGATATTATTATTCACGAATTCTATGATATTCATATTGCAAGAATTTACAATTTTTTTTGTTTAAAAAAAAAAAAGGGTTATATATATCGCATTTTTGTTTTAAATCAGATGACTCCCTGATATTTGACTTATCATTGGAATTAGAGAAACCGATAGGTTCAGTTGCGTCAATGATACAACCTCATTCAACAACTTCTTCATTTAACTTCTTTCTTCTTTCCTAATTTATGGATCATCATAAAAAATACTGGTTTTGAATGTTATACAAAAAATATATTTAACTGGTCTTCTCATGTGAATTTTGCCAGTGATTGATGTATTTAATAAAATAATAATTATTACAAAAAAATGTGTCGAGATGTCTACATTTTCTGACAGAACAAAAAAAAAAATTTTCAGAAAGCACAATAATTGAGAAAAATATATATATATATATATTAATAGCAACCTGTAAATACTTCAGAAAAAAAACTAGATAGGTAGAGTTCACTGCATGTATTTACAAGAAAGGAGCGGGAAAAATTAAGTTGATTTTTTTAAAAGAGGGGAGGGATCGCTTTAAAAATGAAACCGTGTCCTTGGTGATTGATGGCTAATCTTTGGAGGAAATTAATTTTTTTTTAAATAACCCCTGGTTTTGACGATGCGAATATGGTTATGTAACAATGCATAGATCAGGTAACTCGTATTAAAAACTTCATAGTAAATATTACATAAGCTGCCCAAATTTTTTCGATATACATAGCGATCACCTACTAAACGTATTATAAAAGAAGTCCTCTTTATGAAAAACTGCGCCATTCAACATGGGCGGTTTAAAGTTAGCAGGAAGGACTCACGAGGCCATCGCACGCATTTTAAAGTTTCTAAAAAGCATTGTTACAGATGTAATTGCGCGGTATGCTAATTCTAATAATGGATCAAATGCTAAAAGATCACGGAAGACCAAATTCTTTGAATAAAGATGATCTTCACTTAGACGAATTATACAAAAAATAATTGATCTTGACGATTTCATTTATTTTAAAATTTACACTTAAAATTCTAAATAATTTTTTTTTATTTTTTTTTGCTGGCCGGATACTTTTCCGAGGGTAGTGTATATATAAATTTTTTTATCGCGGATCAGAAAATGCTTCACGTCTTGGCAGTTCATTATTATGGGATAATACAAAAGAAAAAAATCATTATTGATACGAAAAATAAGCTTGTAAAATAATTTTACCGGTAATTGATACTTTCTTTTCTTGTTCTAATAAGTTTGTTTTTGAGTTATGTTCGGATATTTTTTTTTATATATATATTTTTATTTTATTAATAATGTACAGTATGTTATTTATACAAAAATCAATTTGGAAAAAATTAAATTATAAAAATCTTTTTTATACTTTAGTAATTTTTATTTTATTATTATTTTTTGGTTGTATAAATTACAAATAACTTTTTAATATATTTAACTTGACAATAAAACTTTAAAATTTACAAAAAACTTTTTTTTTTTTTTTTTAAAAAAAAATTTATTTCGTATACATATTATATATTATTAATTATATTTTATATTTATTATTTTAACAATTATATAAATTTTTTTTCGATATAAAAATATTTATTATTTTATAATTTACATTTTATTTGATATAAATGTTATTATTTAACTTTACTCGGTTTGTTGAAGTTTTCCGAGAAGAAATCAATTAGTACTTTTATTTTCTTTATATTGTCACGAATTAATGCAATAATTTTGCATTTTTCTACCTGTTAATTTTTCGAAATATACTTTTATACCAGTATATATATATATTACTTGAAAATTTCTTTCTTGAAAAAGTGCGTGTAAAGCGACTACTGACAATGTTTTCACGTTTAATTATGTGATTTTTTTTTTTTTTTTGACAAATATTACGTATATATTTTTTATTTATTAAGATGGAGTCCCGACAAAGCTATGTATAAAGATCATAATAAGCAAGAGAACTTTTTAATGATCCCGTTCGTCGAGATTTTAGGTATGAACCAAGGAACGAGGTAAGGCCCATCTAAATTTTGGAAATCGAGATAAATTTAACGCAATATTAATAATCAAGACACTCGTCAAGACATCGAAAAGTTAGGATCCAAGAAAACCTTCTATATTCACAACGCAACGTAATAATACAAGCAAGAGGATTGGTTAAGAAATCATTTCAACTTATAAAAAGATAAATATTATTCCCGAGGGTCTGACCCAGATGAATAGAGTTTTGTTTTCTTGAAAAAAAAAATATTTTTAATTGTAATGAGGATTGTTGGAAAATTGATAAGATAATTGTCAATTGCCAATGATTTTATTTAAATTTTTTAAAGAATAATTCCGACCTGATATTAAAAATTTGACTAATGGTGTAGATGATTCTCGAGTATACGATTCATTGGTCAAGAAAATCTTTAATTCTTTTTATGGGAGAATAAAAATGGGTTCCGTTGCAGATTTTTTAGTACAAATTATTAATAAAATCCCATTTTAGGAGGGAAGAATTCGTTGGTGTAAGAATGACATTACATGGTGGCGTTCTCTTTTAAAAATCATGAAGTTAAGATGATGAAATGATGCAAAGAATTATGTCCGAACGTAATATTTGTTACTTCATGATGAAGGGCTATAAGCGTTCTATAACAAAGTTCATAAAGCTTATGTGAGAACATATATTTGCTAAAGTTATTCGTGACGAGCGGGAAGATTACATTAATAGAATGCAAAGATGAAACATTATTAGAAATCTATAGTCTCTGATAACGTGCATTTTAACCAAAATTCCTCGCCTAATTTCCATGTTGAAGATCTTTTTCATATTATTTTATTGAACAGATATTTATTATAAATATTATATTATTATTAATGGTAACGAATTATATGAGCAAAATAATGATTTAAAATGTATTTTATCATCTTGTTATACACCTATACAATTAATTGAAGATAAAATATTTAATTATCCATTCCTCCTTCATATTTATTGGTGATACAATAAAATTTTCAAATTTAAATTTATTACTCGTGTGTAGTTATTTTATTAAAAATCAATTTGATTCCAAAGAATGAATGATATTAATGATGTTAACAAAAACGATTTTTCGGATATTTATTCAACCCTTACAAACTTATTTTGTATATCGGCAAAATTTATTGTTGAAATGACATTTATCCATGGCTCGAAAATTATAAAAACAAAAATATTTCTAACATTGGCAACAACTAACAAAAAGAGTGAATTTTGAAATTATTTTAACGTGCCGTGCACATTTAAAACTTATCAAGCACCTCCATTAATCATTGGACTTGTAAAGATTTTGAACGTTATCAAGTCATGATAATTTTAAGAATTTATTGAGAAAGGATCTTTAGATGAGAACGAAAATGCTAATATAAAGTCCTTATATGAAGAATTTTCTTTGCTTGGAATTCCGTTATTAATTTATTATTCAATATCAATCTAAAGAATTACTTTTTAACAAATCGGAATTTATTATGTGCGATTCGAGCTTTTTAATTAAATTGCATAATAAGAAAAGCAGCAAGAACATTGTTACAAGATCACGTTATATAATATTATATGTTCAGTATTTAGGACAAGATTTCCTATTACGCGAACTATGCCATAAATTGGATTGTCAAAATTTGTATAAAATGTTATCACAATGTCACAATCGATATCATCGCAAATGATAGCCGTTATTTCGCGTCAATTAAATTAATTATTAAAATCATGAAAGTAAGTAGGTATTATGCTTACGATAATTATTTACAAAGTCAGAATTAAATGTCAGTAATGAGAAGGAATAGTTAACTGGCACTAATTTATCGGTAGAGTAATAAAATTACAACTACGTTTATTTGATACGTGGCGCAGTGGTTACACGAAAATAATTTTTTTTATAATCGTAATGTTCAAAGAACAAAGAACAAAGATATCTCATTTAGTTAGTATGATGATGATTTGTCTACAATTATGAGAAACGCCCAGTATGACTATTGTGCGCATGTTATTTAATATAAATTAAACTATTATAGATATCAGGTGATCAAACTAGCCCGTTATAAATCTGGTCAGTTAGGATTTAGTTTAATTCTGAAATTTGGTGACAAAATACTGTTTTCCTTAAAGAAAATAATTTTCTCACGAAGTTGATCAGCTGATAATGAGTCTGCCAAATTGAGTAAGGTAATAGTTAATTTATATATCTTTAGAAATGATCAGTATAAAAACACAGTATAATTGAAATAAAAGACCCTTACATTTTAAACATATTTTTTTAATCGAAAGAAATTATTTTTTTTTTTATTTTTTATTTTTTTTTTTTACAACAAATTTTGCTTAATATGGAATCCGCCGGAAATCCTGATAAGCAAGAGGAAAATGCAAATGAAAAAACGGATAGTGGTCAATTCGATAATAACAGATTTCCATCAAAAAACCAAACGTCTAATTACAGTAGCGCTAAAAATGAAAACAGCTTGGAACAGTCCTCTAGTAAACCTATTAATAGCAATAATAGCAAGAATGAGGACGAAATCAAAGTTATTTTTCACGCCCATTTTCCTGAAAACACTGCTAAAATTGGACATCCCGTAATTTTTGGTGACGGAAAAGCGTTGGGTTCTTGGGAGCATCACAATATAACCCTTCGACAACCATTTCCTCAAATTCCTACGTATTGGCAATCTAATCCGGTTAATATTTCTACATCAAATATTGGAGGGCATGCTATTCAATATAGATATGGTATTCATACAATGGAAGGAAAAATTGTATTCGAAGGCGATCCTACTGATAATCGAATTTTGGATACTGCGAGAAATGATCAATTCGGAATATGGAAGAATAATCCAAATAATCAAGCTTTGTGTATATCCTCGGAGAAAATCAAAGACTTCGCTTTTGTTAATTTAATTTTTAATTCTATTAATGCTGATAACCTTAAAGATAAAGTTATACAATTTCAACAGTTATTAGCTGATCACGAAGATCTAACGATTCGTGCGTCAAATCTCAAATTTATTATCAATCGTCTTGATGATGAATCAAAGGCCAAACGACTTTTTTTATGTCTACTCTTAGGATATCATATTCAAAGGCAAACTTTACCTTACGAATTACCAAATGAATTTCCATCCGAATTATTACTTGATGCGCTAGAGGGATATAAACAAGATACTTTACCTCAAGGCACCAGAGATCAAATGTGTATTGCCATTACAACTTTAGTACAACATAATGCTTTTCAGATGCATTTCAATTGGCTAAAAGTTTTTACAATCGCTGCAAAAGTCGACCCTAATTATACATTCATTGATCGTTTAAGAGCTTTAAGATATCCTAATGATAGTTTATTAGCAACCCTTGTTAAAAGAGCCGAAATCATTAGGCCTTATATCGATGGCATCGATTTTGAAGCTTACGTTAAACTTGCCAAGGTAAAAATTTTTTAATTCTTTATTCTTTATTTTTAATATCAAATTATTAATAATCCTTTTTTTTTTTTTAAAAAAAAAAATTATATATATACATTTATTTATTTTGATTTATATTTATATAGTGGTTAATTCAATTATGTCATAACATGGAGGGACTTTCTCACCTTTGGAGTGATGTTTTTTTGCATAATGCTGAGTTTGATAGAAATATTTTCAAGTGCTTTGCTAATCGAGTTCAAGAGAATATTTCCGGTGATGATGCTATTGCTCTAGACGCTCATTTTAAGGGACTACCTCAAAGTTGTCGAAGTGAAGTTTCTTCCGTTTTCCGGGATCATTCTTTATTATTACTTAAAAGTCCAAGCAGCAAATGGACGGATCAAAATATATTCGCTATACGAAAACTACTTCAAGATGTTAATCTAAACTGGAACGGTGATGACGTCATACTTGCATTGGAGTTGATATCCAAATCCAATGACTTTGGATTATTGAGTATCTTTCCAGAACTTTTGGATGGGTGGTTTCGCAAGGACTTTTCTGATACTAAGAAAAGGATACCGAATATTTGTGTGAATTGGTTTACGCTTTTTTTGATCAAATTGAGTACAAATGAGAATGTCTTCGTTTTTTTGGTATTCCAACAATTAGATCTTATGCATCCTTTGCTTAACCAGAGGAGTAATATTTGGCGAGAATTTACAAAAATTGCCATCAAGAGAGTAAAGAAATGCTCAGAAGCTCAAATCTTTGCCGCAACAAAATTTATAGTGCATTTAAAACGTGACGAATTCAAAAGTTTATTTACAGAGTTGGTCAAAAAAGTATTAAGCAAGTCAGTTCAAAATATTAATGATCAATTAATAGATAAATTATTTGTAATTTGTAATTGTGTTGACAAGACCAAACCTCTACATGTTCCGAATTTGTAAGTTTTTCACCTTAATTGTAATCATATTTTTCATTAATTTTTAACATCACTGATTGTTATTTTCCTTTTGTTAAGGATGTGCGAGGATATTCTATGCCACGTAATGATCAAATTGCAAAGCAATTCGTTGGCGTCCAGTCGTTCGGAACATCATTTAAATACTTTAGAGGATAGAAAATTTTGGAACGTTATATTATGCGCTACTGGGAGTGTTAAAAATCTTAACTCTAACTCGTACGTTAAACATATTAAAGCGTCTATAAACGAACTTAGCGAGTTGCTTATTGAAAGAACTATTGACATAAAATCATTACGACAACTATTGAAATATTCAGACGAAGAATTGTTCAACCATTTTGTCGCAGCAGCCAAAAAGAAAACTTCAAGTGAGGTGATCTCTCTAGAGGAAATTGCGAAAGTTAGAGAATTATGTGATAATTTTCAACTTCAATCCGATATACTTTTCAAGTTTTATGAAAGATTTTGTTCGACCGCTCAAGATGTGAATGTCTATTTACAGCAATTACAAAGTTCCGATAAGGCCAATTTAAGACAAGGGTTAACATCAGACTATTGGTTATTCCACGAGAAAACGATAAACAGCGCAAATCATTGCTATAAATTCAATCAGTCTCAAACTTTTCGAAATGTATTTGAAATTTGTCTCCAGGAAGATGCTGCCGCGAAAAAAGTAGAATATATCGCACAAACGTTGATACCAACTGTTTTTAAAAGATATAACGCCTTCTGTATGCAATTTAGAGAGTGGGAAAAACTTAAATGTTCAGATGCATCTTTATTTTGGAAGAATGTGACAAATTTTAATGCAGAGCTCGAATTCATGGGTGGGTATGAGACCCTTAGAGATAATAAATTTGTACAATCCCTCGATCACATTTCAAAAATTCCTCAATGGATTGAGCGACTTGAAAGACTAGATAAAGTTGCATATATTTTCAATATCCCACGCGAGGCTCAGGATTGGTTATCGAGATCTATTCATATTTTAAAGGACGATTCCATGATGCTCGGACAAATAAATAGTTTTTTCGGCTACCTTCATGGCAATCTCTCTGGAGTTAATAATGATTGTTGGGAATTGATAAGAGAAATATCTAATGCTGATGATTTTATGAATTTCTTGAAAGAAATTGCCCAACATGACATTACCAACCTGATTAATGTTATAGATGATAATGCAGATGAAAAATTGGTTAAGGAGGAGGATACGGCTTCTTCGCTTATTCAAGTCAAGCAATTTTTATTTCCATTAATGGATAAGAATATCATGGAAAGTGTTGCTGATGTTTTGGAAGCGTTATCAATAATTATTAAGAAAAATTCTACTTTAGTAGAGAAGATTATTTTATGTAAAAATAGCAACATGGCATTACAAAACATGTACAATAGCATTTCGACCCGTAGCAAAGTTACCAAGGAAAAAATTAAGAATGCCGTAGCTAATGGAATTTATACCTTTAAACGTGATGGGAAGGAAGAAAAATGTACCGTAACATTAGTATTTACCTCTAAAACCGAGATCCTTTATAACTTTAATGAAATTTTGGATTTACGCGAGCGAGCTCTTTTAATTGTGAAAACTATCATGGATGATAAAGATATGGAAATACCAAAAGATGTTGCGGATGATTATATCACTCAAGTTGATACTGCACAAGAAATAATTAGCGTGGTATCCGCGTTAATTCAAACGGGACATTTTGATTATCGAAGTTTTGAAAAGAAATTGCGTGGAACAAAATCTATGAAAAAGTTCTTGAAATTTTCAAAAGATGAGCTTAATAAATGGTGAATATATTTATTTTATTTATTTTCTTTAACTCTATTTTTTTCCCCCATTAATTAACGAGTTGATGTTTTACAAATTGATAGGGAAAATATAGTGAATCAGGCGCAAAAAGGGTGTTATTATTTAACATTCTTCCCTGCTCGTCACGTCCTGACATTCTACGATTATTTTATATCAGATAAGCAATTTGATAATTATAATGAAGAAAAATGCAGAACGTTGATTAAATCTATAAACAACAATGTTCAATTACCATCTCGTAAAGATTATCTTGAAATTCTCTGTGAAATTGGTGACGGATTAAAAAGAATTTTTAAAAATATTCCAAAACAAACGCGTGAATTTATAATTACTAAACAACGCATAATGTCAGATATCGTTGCAAAGGGTAAATTGTTCGTTGCGGCTTGTACTGACAAATCGCGAGTTCCAAACATCATCATGTCATTATACGCGAATCATGGATTTTACCCTGAATCATGGCAACTCTTGATATGTACTTCAACTACTACACTGGAAGAGCTCTCGATCTTTATCAAAAGAAGTTTTTTTGCTTCAAATAATGGATATGAGAATAACCTATTCTGTATCGCAAATTTAGAAGAATTAGAAATCGAATTACAATATATTTTAGTTGATCAAATTAGGTCATTGCGAGAAAGTTACAACCAATATCTTTTGGCGCTTATCTGTTGCAAAGAAACTGAGATGTATCACTATATTCTAGATCAACCATCCTTAGTTGTTCACTCAACGAACGGGCTAGACACTGAAGAAATGAGAGAAATCTATCAAGAATTATGTCGAAACGTTATATGTGTCACATCAGACTTATCCGGACAAGGTAAAACTGAGTGGATCAAAGAAGTTAGTTCTATTAAAAAGAAAGTTCCACGTAGCTTTTTGATAAGAGATGGTATGGATTTTGGCACAATTTTACGTCAATTCAAAGAATGCAAACTTCGACCCGAAGAAAGTCTGCACATTAATATAGTATCCTCGGACCACCCTGAAGATGTCAATATGTTTTTATTTGAGTTATTAACCTTGGACATAGCTTCGTCCAACGTCGTCGATACAGATTGTGTTTCAACTTCGGAATCACCTACTTACATATTTATCGAAGTTGCATCAACTTCACAACAACGTTTGCTTCATTCTCTTCCTATGGCAAGTTATCTATTGTCCAAACATTTAACTTGGAATATAGAAAATTTGAGGATCTCTCGACAAATTAATAGTCCAATTCAAATTACTTGTCATTATTTGAATTTGTATGATCGCAACGAAATAGATACCAAAGAAATCCTCCTCCGAACCGATGATGCGATCAAAGAACCGTTACCGATAGAACGTTGCCATAACCTTATTGAAAAATATTTCTTTCATGAAAATTCCGAGGATGTTTCATCATTTAGATTCGTTGAAATCTATGTTAATGATCTTGCAGAACAATTAGTTCAATTATCATCAAGTCAATTTTTCTCTGTGGAAAATCTGAAATTAATGATGGAAAAAGAAGCTAATATTGGATCTTTAATAGTCGGTACTTTAATGGAGGTCTCAA